ATCATTTTATCCTAGAGTGTGTAAGAATTTTACAAGGACCACAGATAACCCTATGAATCAAAGTAAATAGTGTAATTTATTAATATGTTAGAGGAGAAAAAGATGCATGATTATATTTAACAAACTGACAAACTTCACATTAAAAGAAGACAGATTTCTAACCAGTATTTTAAATATTGAAAATTAGGATGATCTAACCTATAATATCATAACATAATATTAAGTCTTTGAAAAAAAAAATAAAGTAGCTATTTTGACATTATCTGTTCAGAACAAGTCCACATCAAAATAAAAGTCCATTTTTTCGCTAGCATTATCAATTATCCTCCTAATGATCAGTTCTTGAAACTCACAACAAGAAAGGTAGAATTTAACTTTAATTAAATAGTTAGAGGTAATTTTACTAATGGACCGCAAGATACAAGACGTAGAATTTAACTTTAATTAGATAGTTGGAGGTAATTTTACTAATGGACCGCAAGATACAAGACAAATTGGGAACATGGTGATGAAGCTGAACTAGAGCGGCAAGAGTGAATGGAGGAGCTCCATAATCTTCTCAAGTGGAAGAGAATGAATGTAGCTCTAATACCATGTAATTTTTTGGGAGCAGTAAAAAATAATTATTCATCTTCAATTTCATAAGAAATGTTTTCAGGATAAATAGCAGGAAAATGACACTAAATTAGGAAAACAAAATCCGTCACAAAATATCCAATATTAGAAGAAAGGAAACATAAATTAGCAGTTACCAACAATATAAAATTATAAAAATAAAAAACACTAAAAATAAAAATTCCTAAATATCCAGCACTTCTCAATGTGAGAACTTGAAGTTGAAACATTGCAGGGTGTCGTGTCAACAAATAAAACCAAATATGCACATTTTTCCATCAATAATAAATGAATTTTAATTCCAGTTTCTCTAATTCATAATAACATTTAGGGTCCTACAACTTCAAATATGCTATACATTGGTGACTTGAGGCATTCATTGATGATTACACCAAAGTCTCCCGGTTTTTTAACTAAAAGATAAATTAAATGTGAGTTTTGCTGTTTGCAATTTTGCATACTACAGCCCAATTTGCTTTCAAAATCAAACAAATTAGCTCTGCTAACACAAGGGATTCTTACAAGTTAAGGCATTATTCATGATTCATCATGTGTAAATACCCCACAAATATAGAAAATATTTATTGATAAAAAAATATTCATTTCCTTAAAACAAGGCAGAAGCAGCACTCTACTGACTTTCTTGTTATTTTTCCCTCATGGGACTCTTAGGATTTCTGCATTCAGATTTTGTTGTTGTTGTGTTTGAGGGAAGAACAAGGTCACAAACTGCATGCTTAAATTTTATTCCCATAACTCCTACGAGATTGGTGGGACTTTCACATTTTGTATTTTGATGAGATTTGAGGGATCAGTGGCGTGTTGGAAGAATGCAAGGAAGAAGAGAGGGAGGTTCGGGAATAGAGGTGATGAAAGTATGTGTGAGGGCTGGGAAGAAAAAATGCATCTCTTTTTTCTCTCCTTGTTTGTTTTGTTTGTTCTTTTTTTTCTCTTTTTTTCTTTTTTCTCTTTACTTTTTTTTTTATATTTCTCTTTTTTTTCTTTTTTCTCTTTACTTTTTTTTTTATATGAAGGCGTCAGAAAGCTCAAGTGAATGTAAACTCAGTGCATTAAAAAAGTGCGAAATATATATTTTTTAATCTATTTTTGTATGTTTAAGAAAATATATTGGCATATATTATTCATTTATCAAATTATTTTTTATGGATTTATCATATTATTTATAAACACACACACACACATTATTTAATTTTTTATTCATATATATGTGTTATTATTATTAATTCAATTTATGTTATTTTACCTTTCTAAAATGAGAATTTATGAAGTCCCTCTTGTCAACTTTATCCCTCAGACATGAAAAGTTTTTGTTTCTCATACAAGTTAAATTTTGTCCTTCTACAATAAACAATCTCGAGTTAATTAAGAGACTTTCCTGAGACATTTTATTATATTGAACTCATATAAATGATCCGTTTAAAAAACTATAGGTGTTTGAATACACTTGATATGATTGAAAATTTTTGAGTCATTGTCACAAATTAACATCAATCTTTCATCATTTCCATTGCATTTGATTTCAGCAAGTTTTAGGATATATATATACCGGATGGGTCTTCGTTTTCGCTCTGCTAGGGTTTCCGCTCATGGCGAACCCTAGCTTGAAACAGATGACTTTTTTCACTCGTTTTGTTCCTTTTTGTCTTCATCATCGGCTCTGGCTGGCGGAGGAGCTCGTGCTGCTTCGAGCCTGCTCGTCTGCTGTGTTGTCTGCGGCAGAGGAGACGCGTCGTCGTCTGCTGCGTCGTCTTCCACATCTGCGTCATCGTTTGCATCTTGCGCTTCGTCGTTTTGTCGTCTGCGGAGGAGACTGCTCGTCTGCGGCGCTTCGCTCGACTACTTCGCCAGAGTTCCGTTGGACTGCTCCGCCAAAGTTCTGCTCGACTGCTCCGCCAGAGTTTCTACTCGACTGCTAGCGTCACGTTCGTTCGTAAGCGGCAAACGTTGCAGTACTTGTGTGAAGAACGCTAATGACCTCAGAGTTTTCTTACGTTGCCGCCCTCGCCTGTGATAACCCTGCCAAACCCTCATATTCTATAGTAGTTCACAAAAACAGCTCCCCTTTCCATCTCGCAGATAGTCCGATATTCTCGCAGATATACATGATTCTAATGCAGGACATGAAGATTGCAATCTCATAAAAAAAGTAGAGAAAAAGACGGACAAACCAACAATATTACGGACAAACCAACAATATTCTTCAACAATATTCTTCTTTGACGCTGAAATTTCAACTCGTACAGAAAATATAAATGTACACTAGCTGGAAAGTTCCAATTATGTTATCATAAGATGAAAATTATCAGGAAGGTTTTTGAAGATTTCAAACTGGTTGGAGATTGACAGGTGGGTCATTTCGACGGAAGACGTGTTATGATACAGGTGAGCATAAAAGAAAGACCATAGAAGAAGTTTACACAAAGATTTTCTCAAAGAAATTCATCACAATCGAGGCAAATATATGAAATTTGCTCAAATGAACCCCTAATTTTGATCTCAGTCAAGAACCCTCAATTGCGCCTATCTGGTTCTCTTTACCTGAACTCAAGCTTCAAACTTACTTATCTTATATGCAATTGGGACTACCCTTGGAAAACCTTTGCAGGTAGACTTATCTACAGTTCATTTCTCAAGGTCCTCTATTGAAAATATTTTGATTGAAAGAGATATTACACTATCAGATACAGAAGAAGTCTAGAGAAAAATCTGACTTGACTATGCTCACAATGGTCATTGGCAAAAAATTATTATGGAACAAAAACCTTACTACTGCAAGCACTGCAAGATGTTTGGACATCCGCAGGAGAAATGTTTCAAATTGCACCCACAATTGAGAACCAATAGTCAAAAGCAGAAACATGTTATTAGTGCACCGCACTTGCCTAAATGCACTCCTAGCAAACTTGATGACAACTAAGCTGAGGAGGGAATCACCACAAGACAAGAGTTGGTGTCTGCCTCTGAGATCTCTTCTCCTGATTATAGTACAACGGATAATGTTCGAACCGAAAAACAAAATAGCCCTGCAGCTCCTATTCAGGAAGCATCAGGTGCAGAGGTGACAATTCACACTTCACATACACTGGAACCTATTGTGTAGCTGGAACCTATCGCTGTGACAACGACTGTCTTTCCTTCTACTGCGGTTCTAATATCTAATCGGACCGAGGATCACATGAGCCAGTATTCAGATAAAAAATGACAGGTTTACACTTCTCGGCGGAAGAAGAAGGTTGGGGGCACACTCCAACTTGGAAACTTAATGGATGATATTTTGGTTACTCCTGGCAATGACACGACTCTTCAAAGTCTTCAAAAAGATTGTTATCTGACTCTGCTCCTTAAACTAGAGGAAGAGACAAGTCTAAACTGACTCGTCCCCAGCTATTTGTTTTTTGCATGTTTTAAATTTATTTTAAATTTTTATTGAGTCTATCTGTACCTTTTGTTGGGGTATGTATCGTATGGGTAGGGTGTGTGCCTCTATTGGGCCCTCTCAGACAACTTTTATAGTATCTTTTCCATTTCAATAAAATAAGCCCTTGGGTTTTTCAATATATATATATATATATATATGTGTGTGTGTGATATTCTGGGATATTAAACAAATTCAGTTAGGTTGTAAGAAAAATAATTAATATTTAAGTTTTGCGACCAAAAGATAATATTAAGAATTGAACAAATTCAGTTAGGTTGTAAGAAAAATAATTGATATTTAAGTTTTGCGACCAAAAGATAATATTAAGATGGATATAACAAAAAAGAATATCTTAAGAAATTATCATGTTAAAGTAATGGTTTGAGTAAAATCTATATAAAAGATAAGGTAATTGAAAAGAAAGTTAGGTGGTATGAACATGTATGACAAAAGATAGAGCTTGTCCCCATTAAACTTGTAGATAAAATTAGTGCCAAAAGCATAGGAAGAAAAAGGGACAGGCCTAACATTAGATGTATCTAAGTTGTCTAAAACAAAAAAATCTAGCACCTTAAATAACACTCAACAAAAGCATAAAAAAGAGGATCCATAACGCCAACCGCAATTAGTTGAGATAACAATAATGACAATGATATTTGTAAAATTTTTACATTCGAAAACAATATCTTGACAGCAAAGCCTCTTTTATTAATATTCTTGATAAAAAATTACAAACCAAACAGCATAAAGTCCCATGCCATTACACTGACTCATAAAACATGTTTTCCAGCAGCATTGGTCTTACAAAAATAACTGCCAAAACATAGGCCTATGAAACAAATAAGAAAAAGCTGCTGCAATCATATAGAGACCATATTCAAGATAACAAGTAACAAAAAGCTGAAATAAAAGCTGAAACACGGTAAAAATTTAAAATACAATATACCTGAACTATTTCACTGATGAAGTTTAAGCCACCGGGCCCAATAAGAGATCCAGCAAGCAGGTAACCAACAATGACCTTGAGTTTAAGATTGAAATAAAAAAATAACATCAGCAAGGAGCAATTAATTTCTAAACACAATTCATGCTTGGAGGATTAGATTAAAGAAAAACTGAAAAAAGAAACCAACCGGTTGACCTAAAAGAGAAAAAGTAATGCCTCCAATGGTTGCAGAAACAATAACCACCACCAGATCGGAAATTAATCTGAGTAATACAAGTTTAAAACTAAGAAAATTAGAACCAAAATAATTTTGCCTAAAAAACAGTATTTTAAGACTATAATGGAAAAAAACTCTTACATATTTAAAGGAAAGTATGAAAAAAAAGGGTACCAAACTTACCTCAGATCTAATTGAAGTACTGGATACTTAGATTTACGGTTTGACATGACAAATACATTATCCTGACACACATGGAAAGCAGGGAAATTTCACAAAAAGGTTGAAATCAGATATTAATAAATGATAAGAATTCTCGGAGTATGTCTACCTTTTGGTCTATCAATTGTGTCCCATCAGAATCCTCAGTTTCCAATGAAAAAACATCTTGAATTTGAAATGATTTGGCTGCACTGCACAAAGAAAAAGAATACAATAACTATATAGAAAAAAAATTGAAAAGCACAAATTGAAATGGTATTCTTGAGATTTATACACACATTGTTGATGGAGTGTCATTTCTCTTTGCCTTGTCATGAGTAATCATAGCCACCGTCTCCACAATACCCTGGAAAGCAATAAAAATGCACAATAAAAAAGGATGCATTAGCTGCACAATGAAAGCACAATGAGGAAAGACTAAATAAGCAAGTTGTCCAAAATTAGATTGTAGGTAAGATGTACGCTAAAAGAAAAGATTCCTGCACGTAAGATACACTTTCTAAGATACCTCATATATCTCATAAGGCAATCTCCTATGCTAGGAAGTGCTGGGTGATTGTGATTGTATCGCTTAAAAAGAAACAAATTATAAGAGAAAATGATAATTCACCCATCCAAAGTTATGCAACTTGCTCACTCAGTACATTTAGGGGGCCACTGCACAAAGGGAACTCACTCCAGCCATGTAATGATAAGGATCGTTTAAAATAGTCCTTTTTTTCCCCATTTTATTCTGTTTTATTTATTATACTGTATAAAATGAAAATGTTTATAATGCATTTATTGTTTTCAAAAGCTAAAAACTGCTTGACCGATGCCATTAGAAAATTCATCTAACTAAGCATGAATTTTGACACAAAATTCATATCTCAAAGCACTATCTTTGCGCAACAACTTGAGAATTTATTGTGGGATCATCCCAATTCTATTTTCAGAAAGCTTAGAATCTACATAGTGCAGTTCGATAAGTCAAGCCAAACAATATTAAAAACTACCAGATCTGAGTCACAATAACCTAAATCAAGCACTCATAAGTATAATTAAAAATTTTGAGGCCAATTAAGAGGTCAAATGTCCTCCAGAATTTTAAATCTTATAATAGTAAGAAAAAACATCTCGATGAGACAACTCTAATGCTCCTAAGATTGCTCAATTTCAAGTTCATCAAAATGCAACTGAAATTTATGTGATTGTGCCCGCGGGAAGTAGCAAAGCCTACGAATGATCAACGATGCTTCCAAGTGTACGTGCAATTGGGCATGCACAGACATTTGCCTACACGTCTATGTGAGATTGAGCCCACTATAAGCCCAATTAAGCATGCACGTGCAAGCTTGTGTGCATGACCACCAACAACGATAGCAGTAGCTTGACCTACCCTTGGCTCAGACGTGTTTATTCCACCACTTTTTTTTTATGTTCATAACTCAATTTTGACATTTTCAGAACCTAATTGAACATCAATAACTAAATTTGAGTTATAAAAAATTCAACAATTTTTGCTCCATCAGCAAGTTGACTTTAAGAATTGCTTGAAAAAATTTTGCTTCGTTTACATCCCCTGAAGGGAGCAGATATTGAACTCTAGAGAGCAATCGTGCCTCTTAATAATTTTTTAAAAGTATAGTTTCGTGTTTAAATTTTTCAAAAAACTAATGGTAGAACCATGGGTCTTTTGCCGACCAAAAATAAAAAGGCAACTAATGCTGATATGTCACCAAAAAATCTACATTATCAACCATGAATATTATGCATTTTGGATAGGAATAAAAGCTATATTTAAATTCAAATTCATTGAAGCATTCATTTCAATAATTTTGTGGTCAAACTAAATATCTCAATAATATGAACCCAACAAATTAAAAGTAATTTGATTCAAAAAGCCCAAAAGAGCACTGATCAAGCGCTTAGAAAAAAAATTGGAAGCTTTGAAGTATTAACTGAAAGGAGCTTTGAAAAATTAAGTGAAGATGTCAAATAATCTTCAAATTTCGTATACTTACAGTTAAATCGAGTGTCTTGACAAAAAGAATCATATGAGCCTAAGATCACTCAATTTTGAGATCATTAAGACATTAAAAACTAAAAGAATGATCTATGATCAAAATAATCGATACAGAACATCTGATGAAATGTTTTAAATTTTTGGATGTTTGCCGAAATGCCCTCTTAAAATTATATAAATTGAAAATTATTTTCAACATGAAATAAGGATTAAACTGAGAATAGAGTTCAAATTCTCAAAGAAAGCTTGAAGATAACGACCACTAATAATCATCCACGATCACCACTGGTAGTTGTTGCCCAAACATTATCAGATGATTGTTGTAACCCGATCACTTTCTTACAGTCGTTCTTAACAAATATTCATAACTCTGTTAAAACTCTGTAGCCCTGGCTTCTCCATTTAGAGAGAAGAATGAAATTTTGTAACTTGAATATATAGTCAATTACCTTAAATGGCATGCCCCGTGATTTTTCCCTGGATATTTCACATAAAAAATTGTATTATCCTTTATCACTTCTATCTATTTGTGTCTTAAGTCATTTTTATTTAGCTAAAACTTAATATTTCTCTACAGTTAAGAATTACATAGCCTGAAATAAGCATGATTAAGAAACTATCTTAAAACCATCTAACAAAGTACAAGACAATCGACATAAGTCATGTTCCGATATATTTAAGAAAGACTTTTGGAAGACACAATTTATAATTCTACGTCTCGAATTGTCATTTGGAATTTCAATCGATGATCCCTGGGGTTCTCTTGTCCGGACTTCTTTTATCTCTCTTGGTCACTAGGTATTTTAAAAAATTAAGAAGTCATGCATCATCAATAACTTCCTAATACCCAACTTTAAAAACGAGCGGCTAGTATAATAGTCGATCAACATTAACATTCACCATCACTCATACATCACCATTCATAAACTAACAATAATGCCAACCGATGTCTGGCATCAATGGATGTCGTTGTTTATCATCATTCATCCTCTATCAACAAACGCTAATGTCAACATTCCCTAATCATTATCAACCATCATTGAATGGCATAAAAAATTGCCATCTAATCTTTGATTTTGTCCATCATGTAACATCAACCATTGTTATTTAACATCCTATGAGGTTCATTGTCAATCAAAATTAATGTTTACCATCTTCCATTACCTTCCAACATTCACCATTACCTTTATAGGAGACAACCACAACAATTGAAGTCTCATAAATCCACCTCTAAAGATGGCGGACCATTATAACATTAAACTTACTAGCAAATCTATTTAAAACTAAGGTTAGGCAACAGGATTTTTTACTTACTAAATTTTACTTAAAAATCCTACGTCTTCTATGTGTTGTGCATTAATTAGTGCGTGTGCGGAACTTTCATCTACGCTAAAAATAATAAACTCTGTTTTTGCTTTCGCTAATCTAGAGTGCAACAATTTGATAGTATTTGTTAGAAACCATAGCCTATCTTATACTATTTGATTGATCGGTGACAACAGCACTAATGACAAATATGCATAGTATTTGCAATAAAGAATGTCTCCAACCGAATTCCTACCATTCAAGGAACTCTTAATTCATCAAGGTCAAACGATAACCTTTCCACCTTTGGAATGAAACAATTCTATCGACTAAAGTTCCTGTAACGCATCTCTAGAGAAACAAATCCAACCGTATAGAATATCAAGTCTATATCCTCCATCTTTAGCACAAATCAAGCCATCCTCATGTCAAAAATCCCCAAATCGTATAGAATATCAAGTCTATATCCTCCATCTTTAGATCCTCATGTAATAATGTTATAGGATCTTGTCCTCACTCAAGCATCTCCAAAGAGCTATCTCATACCACCAAGCAAATGCTCTTTTATGAGCCTCCGCTAATTAACGATAGCCTACATGACATAGCCAACTTCACACGTCCACAAATGAATTTACTCCTATGATCCTATCTATCATAAATAGCATTACTCGAGCCAACCTTCATTATGAACTCCAACATTTGGTTTTGGATGAGTTCCTAATAAAAGACAGTTCCCACCTTGAAATTTTCAATAGTCCCCTCTCACCAACACCATCCTACGACATCTGAATCCAGTCCATACATCTTATGACGGTTCGTTCAACCCTTGTAAGCACTTGGATCCCTACAAAACTAGTATGCAAATATAACGATCATCCAATGGCCTCCTCTTTCAAGTCTTCCCTACAACCCTAAAAGTCAGACACGATTCCTCATGGATTGAAGAATAATCAAGATACCTCCAACCTCCATGGAATCCATCATAATGAAGTAATATCCCTCAAGAAACATTCTAGTGATTCTCCTAAAAAATCCCCGAATCATATGGGTTTAGCCCGAGCTACTAAGGGAATCTTCCTCAGCAAACCAAACCCTGATCCATTCTACTTGTAACTAACGTGCAACATAATTCGTTCTTATGTTGACCTCATTCACCATGTCAAAACCCACATTGCAATCAAGTTATTAATATTCAATGTAAATAGTTCAAACAACAATCAACATATGTAAGTTCTATATATATATATATATATAACTGTGATAAAAATAAAGTAAAAATTTTATAAAAATTGTTAGGATGAATTTCAAGTAATGCAAAAAATATTATATTACTAAAAAATAAATTTCAACTTATCTTTTGGTAAATTTTAAGTATTACAATTCCCTTCACTTTAATGAAATCAATTCTTGAAAAATTTTTGAGCGCCAATTTGAACAAGTAGGAAACTTTCTATCTCATTTTTGCTCATTTTCCCAAATTGTTATTTTTGCAAACTTGTGCTTCAATTTTATCTTAACATATGAAATTTGTCTTTTCCGTAATTTTCTAATATTAAATCTCAAGTTTCTTCAGGTTCTATAATGCAAGACAAATCTCTCTAAACATCAACATCTTCACACAGGATCATTTGGTTTGTGTCAGCAACACATTTTATCAATATCGATATATGAAATATAACGAATATGTTAGGGATGTGAAATTGGCTCGAGGATCGTAAACGCTTTAAAATTAGATTGAATTTTAGCTTGGATAGAATTTGAATCGAACCATTTGAGTCGAGCTACAAGCTAAATTAAAGAATCGAATTTATCTTGATTTGGCTTGGATCTAGATCAAATTGAGACCGAAAAAAATTCATATGTATTTATATATTTAACACTTAAACTTTTAGTTTTACATGCATAACACATTTACATGCATAACACATTGACATTGTCTGCTCGATTGGTGAGGGATTTTTTGCTAGAGCAAAGTGGCAGGAGTTTGAATCTCCTCTTTTCACAAAAAAATACATTTTTTGCTAACGGGCTGGTCGGGTAGGCCATGACAGGTTCGAGGCGGGCCTATCTAGCTTACGAGCCAAAAATGGCATTTGAACCAACTTGAAAATCAGATCAATCCACGCTGGATCGAATCAAAATTTAGTAGGATCGATCCACGATCAGATTTCAATCCGGTTAAAAAATTTTGATCCGATTTGGAACAGGCCCTGGATCGGCTCAAAATCGGATCATTTGTACCCCTAGTAAATGGTTGACATAGCGGCTGGTAGTACTAATATAACGACAATTTTGTCAATTTTCTCAATGATTTTAAGTAGTAATATATATCTAAGACATTTCTTCTCTGGTCAAACTTACAAATACCTTTCATTTGCTTGACATTTAAAAACACAAAATCATCAAAATCAAACTCCAATTTTTTGTCTCTTTTATCATCATATTTATTTTTATGATCCATAATAGTTTTCAACATGTCTTTGATTAATCTGATATTTTATATAGCTTTATCAACTAACGTGGGACCCAACAGTCATCTTTCTGCCACTTCAACCTAATTTAACGGAGTTCTGCACTTACAGTCCTACAAAATTTCAGAGAGAATCAGTTTAATATTAGATTGATAATTATTATTGTATGAAAATTCAATCCTTTTATTGTGATCCTTCAAAGGATTGGGCGTTAGTTTATAAAGACCCACAATCATCACCCTTCAAGTCACCTTGCTAGAACTACACGTGTAGTTAACTCGTCCCATCCAATTCAAAATGATAAACATTTACGTAATCTATGAAATAACATTCAATCAATCATAACTTGTCTTACTTCATGGCAATTAAATATACCTCCTCACATGAAGCTTAAGCTCTAGATCAAGGGACATTGAAACATTCAAAACAAATTGGTCAATTGCTTAATTTACTTCTAATAAATTCAACAAGAAAATCCCATCACCATTGATGACTATAATAAGGATAAATCTCATTAATGATCAACTCCAAGAAGTCAAGAAAAATCGAAGGGTTGTCATAGAATAATCCAACTACCGTTACTCTTTAACAAACCGGTCTCCTTTTTCTTTGAAATATCACAAAAGGAGTCTCCTACCACCACCACCACCACCAACCAACTCAATCAAGAATTTATTCTTCAACAACCAACACCAAAAATGAAGAAAATTTAAAGGGATTTATTGGAAGAAATATACATCCACATGGCAAAAATATGAAAAACTTCACAAAAGTGAGCAATGAGTATGCCTTAAGGAAGTAATAGAACACCTCATTTCACCATAATTTCTGAAAGAATTTATATCCTATTGAATTATCATCTCCAAATCCAAAGAATGATCAAAAAGCTCTATTTTCAATCATAATAGGATCAACTTGCAAACATGTTATCCATATTATTGGTTGAGAACCCCATAGTTTTCTTTATTACATCACAAGTAACCTGGATTAGATATAAATAGAACTTCTTTTAAAAATATTATTGTCATATATCCATCAAAAAAGTCCCTAATAGGGCAAGTAACAAATAGAATTTTCACTTACCTAAAAACCTCAAATGGTATAATGATTCAATAACCCCGAAAGGTAAAGCCCAATCTACTTAAACCATTAATTTGTTTATAACATAAACTATACCCAAGTGGTTAATCTAACGCTCCATCTGCTCCTCTTTCTTCATGCCCCAAATTATGCCTTAATTAATCAAAGTATAAAGGTAATCACATTTGAGATATTTATGCCCTTTAGATAAAGCAAAAAGTTCCTTAATTATCATCTTGTTTATATGTTATGGCGTCATGAAAAGATGGGCAATCTATACTCCACTTCAAAAAAATCCATACCATGAAGCTAATTTCATAGTTTAGGCATTAGAAGGAGAAAACATTACGAGATCAAAAAAGCTGAATTCATATCAACTGATTTATTGATTAAGACTATCAATGGTAGGGATTTTCAGAAACACGGTTGAGATAAGAAAGGGCATTTTTTGGATTCCATAGGCACAATCAAATTGCAAATCAAACATCAAACGAGAAATAAGACTCTAAAAAGTGCAACATGTATTAAATCTCATATTATAGTAGAATAAGGATGGATTCGAATTTTAGCGTGCTTGGAATAAGCTTGTTTTAAGTCATAAATTCAGGATTAGAGCATTTTTTGTTAGAATTAGTTTTTTCAATCAGAAAGCAACTAACTTTCTAATTTGTAGATAGGATTCGCTCTTTACCGAAGTTTGATGAAGAGTGATCAAAGCTTAGCTATGTCATTAGGGTGCCAAAATTTGACCCGACACTCCAACTCAACCCAAACCCAACTCGAAAAATTATGGTTCGGTTTGACCTGAATAATTTTAGGATTAGTTTTAGGTTAAAAATTTTAACCCGTATAATTTTTTGGGTCTGATTCAGATTAACCTGCCAGCCCTAAATTAGCTTGAAATTGACCCCCAACCTGGATTAGACCGATATTGACTCGAAATTAACCTAAATTTAACATAATTTTTTACCCTACTGATCAGGTTTGATTTAGCGAGTTGAAGGCAGCATGTTCAGGTTGGACTTTCTAATCTGTTTAATATTAGGGTTGGTTTCAAGTCGGTTGGGCTTAACCAAACGAGACCCATGAAACTAATTTGAACCCTACATGTAGGGCGTCAAAAATTAACCAAACATGTCAATCTGGCCCAAACCAAACTCGAAAAATCCGAGAGTAGGTTAACCCAAACAATTATTTGGGTTAAAAATCTTAACCCTTTTATTTTTTTGGGTCGGGCTCGGGTTGATCGGCCAACCTGATAATAACCTGAAACTAGGGTTTATATGAGTCAAGTGCCCCTGCGAGCTGGCTCGAGCTCTGCCCAATAAGTGGCTCGTGAGCCAAGCTCGATGAGCTAACAAGCCAAGTTCAAGCTAGCCCCGACTTGACTCGTTAGCTAGTGAGCAGGTTCGTTTAAAAATGTTACTATAAAATATACTCAAAATATATTAAATTTGAAGTATTTATCTTTAAGTATTAAAAATATTTTCAAAAAATATTTGTATTTTATATTAAGAGTCTTCCTATTATTTTTCTCTCCTAATTGCTCATTTTATTGTTATTTAATTATAACACTATTTCAAATTAATAATATTTTCTCACTTTTGTAATAAACAAGTAAGCTCGTGAGTCAGATTGAACTCATAGACTTAAGCTCAAGCTCGAGCTTGAACCCGATAAAATTAATCAAGCTCGAACTCAAGCCGAGGGTAGCTCGAGCTCGACTCGTTTACACCCCTACCCGAAGTTGAACCATCAACCTTGAATTGACTCGAAATCAACCACCCAAACTGGATTTCACCTAAGATTAACTAAAAAATGACCTGAATAGCTACTATTCCTTATGGTAAATCGGTTAAACGGGTTGGTTCGGGTTGGCGGGTTGAATTTTTGTTGTTCTCGAATTGGACTTCTGACCCGTTTAATATTTAGGACAAGTTCAGGTTAAGCAGTTTTGGTTCGAGTCAATTTAGGGTTAGACCCGAACCGTTTATAATTGTCTACTTAAAGGCCTGAGTTATGCAGTACATTAAATTAAGAATTATCCCAAATATCTACCCTAGTCTTCCTCCCTATTTCTCCTACATGAAGGTCTCCAATGTATAAAAGCTATACTTATTGGCCACTAATCACTGAAATTTCCCCATCATCACTTTATTCTGCAACTATCCAGCAAATAAAAAGAATCCAGAATGCTGTTTTAAGCAGTCAAGAAAAAGAACCCGACATTTGCCTTATTATCTAGTGCAGGAATAATTCTGAGTTGTTATTTTTCAACAATTGGAAACATAATTTTTATAATTCTTGCCAAAATAAATTTAAATGAAGTACTTGTTTGTTGTCAAAGCAATCCAGAAAGAGATTCAGTCATGACACTAGTTGTCCAGTAAAAAAGTAGTTTGAAAACTGAATTAAATCGTAATATAGAACGAATTGATGAACAAATCTGAGAGGAAAAGTCACTCTGCGTGAAACAATGCTGAAAGGAACTTCTAAAAAATTTTCAAAAACAGTTTTGGATTCGTTCAAGCCTTTATTTTGAAGTTGCATCAAAGCATCAAAACATTATAGCTCTCCAAGCCACAAGAAGTTTGTCCATTATAAAGTTTCTTTAGGGTGTGAGAGGAAAGTCACACCTACTTGGTGCTCTGCAACTGTAGTGTTGAAACTGCTTGCATCATGACCTGAACACAAGTAATAACATTGCATGAGCATTACATAAGAGATAAAATGCAGAGAACAGCAACATGCATCAAAATCGCTGCTAGTATATAGCACCTAACCATGAGTAATCACATCAACATTAACAAGATCTTAAATATGAAATCTAGTCACTATTATATGTAATGAACAAGAAAATGGAGATGGGCAAAATACAGCTAAGCATCTTTGGTGGTATGCTGTTCGGTCAAAATATATTGAAGAATCCCGTTTTCATAGTACTTTGAATTTGTACTTGCTAAGGCTTTAAATTTTGAATTTCTTTGACATTACCCATGTCCCCAATATTCTCAAGATTCCAATAGTACAACAAGTTTGCAGATGAAAAGATCCCAACATATACGGTTTCCTTCATAACTGGGAGTTTGTAAATAAATACAATTACATGGCGAAGTTCTTGACGGCATTAAAGAGTAAATACGATCACTAAATAAGCAGTATCATCTTGTTTCAAGAAAACTGAGAACAGTCCTACAATCAATATATATGATGCCAAGCCAATATAAACGTCTTTGGTGCTGACACTTTGCATCGGTTTAGTTTATTATTGCACTTACGTTGAAAACAAAACGAACCCTACCTTCCGGCACATTGTCCTCAGAAGAAAACTCTTTCTCGAGCACGCGATCGAAAATATCCGCGATGCTACCTTCACCTGACGCATTGCGCGTCGACGCCGCAACCACAGAACCATAGAATCTCTCCCTCGTTTCCTGATCTATCCTCGCTCTAGGCTGCGCCGGAAACGACGTCATTGAGAGGCAGACAACGAAGAACACGATCATCCACCGCGTCGGACACATCGCAAAGATGCCGGCGCCCATCGATAAGTCAAAGAAGAATGAGCTACGAGCCTCTAAAACTCGAAAAACGAGCGAGAATCACAGCGGAGCATTCCGTCAGAGCGGAAGGAAGCGGATGAAAAATCGCTAGGGTTTCGAATGCTTCCGAATCGGCAGTTGGAGAGATGGAGTTGGGAAGAAGACCGGCCGGCGGTTCTGTCCGAAGAACTGTACCCGCGGGGCCACCGCAACTTGTGATGCGCCACGTGGCTTATGACTAGAAAATGATCACATAATGTGGGGAAAAAAAAAACCGGTGTGATTAGATTTATTTTGTAAATTTTTGGACTTATTTTCTCAGTCGTTTCGGTTGCGGATTTGGTAGCTGTGTGATGGATTGCAAGCTTCCGTAAACACGTGTTTAATTTCTCATTTATACCACTCAACTCTTATGTATTTATATATCTAATATATAAATTTTATTTTTTACATACATATCACCAAAAGAAAAAATATCATAAAATTTCTTTGAAAAGGTGACTCCAAAGAGTAATATGTGAGATTTGCAGCAGCGACCTCATGGTGAAAAACTACACCCTCAATCACTATGTTACGGATAAATGTTGAAAATTAAATGGGTTTTTTAATTGAGCCTCTAATCTAGAATAGCCTTTAGAAAATTCTAAAGACTCATTTTATGAAAAAAATTTTAGAGGAATCTATATATATA